GGCGTCTGCAGTAGTAACTGTTCCAAAGCAAAAGCCTAAAACTAATTGCATCTTGCACGCGGGTTCGTCAACGCTTTATTTTGGTTATTTACTTCGAATCTTTTATGCGAGGAAGGCGAGTGCATGAGGCCCAAACGGTAAAAGTTGTAATGTGGACATCTTAAGAAATGATGTGCCTTAAGGTTTCTTTATGTCTTAATAGTAGGGGCGTCGTAATAGCCAATTAAAATTTCGACGCATATATGCCCGCCCATCGTGGCGCGCCGAGAGTAGGAACGCGCGAGAGCGCAGTGAAAAACTAACAAAATTGACGTCATCAGCTGCGTCAGATGACCCGAGCTCGCCACTAAGTAGAGCCACTATGGCCGTGTTCCAAAACTTACTATATCTTACTCCAAGCACGGCTCTGACTCCAAGGTAAGGGTTTTGTACCTTGGCGTTCTAAAACCTACCCGCGTCCAGCGTTCTTCAATCTGAGTTGTCACGTGACAGGACCAGCTGGAGTAACTCTGATCCATTTGGGTAAGATTTGGAACACAGCCTAAATGAGCTGCGCTTAGAGTATCGGCAATTTTTCTCCCGACATTGTTGTGGGCGCCGCCATTTTTGTGCTTGTGCAGAGCAGACGCAACTGCCGATCGTCACAAGTCAAAATTGCGACTTCCTCAGCATTAGATTCGGTGTTAGGAAGCTCATGTACTATTTCTTTGCTTTGTCGCCATTTGTAGAGGACGGAAAAGCGTTTTCTGTGATTTCAGACAAAACTTCAGATAACTGGCAGCCATAATTTTTAGCCACAATATGGCTAGTGCCACTAAATAAGCTACGCTTCAGAGTAACGACACTTGGCCATATTGTGCCTTACAATCGTGGCTGCCAGTTATCTGAAGCTTTATCTGAAATCACAGGAAACGTTTTTCCGCCCTCCACAAATGTTTAAACAGTTCGCGACAGAGCAAAGCAATATTAGAAGAGCTTCCTAACGCCGAATTTAATGCTAAGGAAGTCGCACTTTTGAATCGTGACGATCAGCAGTTGCGTCTGCTCTGCATTCGAGCCAAAATGGCGGCGCCCACAACAATGTCGGGGAACGGAGTGCCGATACTCTAAGCGGAGCTTATTTAGTGGCTCTAAATATGGCCAAGTGCCGTTACTTTGAAGCGTAACTTATTTAGTGGGACTACCACTAAGCTGGCTCGGGGATGCCGCCGATGACGTCACGACGTTCTGGATAGAAAACAGGCGGCAAAGAGCCTCGCCGCAAGCCCGGCGGCAATTGCTGCACGTATTTTTCTAAATAAATGCGGGATTACGTTAACTTCGAGCCAAGATATGTACGATAACTGAGTTCTGGGCACAAAAACTATAGAAGTCCGCTCCTAACTTCAAAAAAAGTGTTTCAGCTTTCATTTAACAATCGGGCAGGACAGAGAGACCCGAGCTAATATCTTCGGTAATAAGAAAGTGAAATTAACTTTCCGGAGCAATGTTGGTGCACTTATCCCACCTTTTGGTGCGAAATCAGTGACGGTGGCGGCATTTGACCTTTTGTAGCAGGTTCTGTAGGAGGCAAAATATTGGTTTGGAGCAACGACTGACGCTTTGGGAGCAGATGCCAACGTCTGTTAGCACATCACTTGAGAATGAAAAAGTGATTGCATTTCTAAATGAGTTCATTTTCGATAGTGACAAAGGGTTCCTCTAATTTGGTACTTGAGCATATTACTTATTACCGTTTGTCATAAGGATAGGGCGTAAAAGGAACAGTCTTCTTAAATAAGGCTCGAGTCAGAGTGGGTTTCATGTACAATGGGTATTAAAGAATGGTTGAAAAGTGAATCATAGCGCAAGACCTTTATTGGGACAAATCCTTTCCCCTCCCCGTTTTACACTCGGTAGTAGGGTGACCACCCGTCCCGCGACCCGCGGGACTGTCCCGCAATGAGCGCTCGTGTCCCGCGAGAAATACCCAAATCTTCAAAATGTCCCGCCTTTTACATTGTCGCAACATCCACTACGCAAATTATGGCGCTTCCTAACAACGGGCCACGGGGAAGCGCAGAGGTCACTGATAAACGTGTGAATCTCGATGGTCGGCCATTTTATATACAAGCACTGCGGGAAGCGACCATCATTTTTGCAGAAGACAGACCCGCATACGCCGTTGCGCCCCTCGCCTTGATGGCAAAACATTGCAAGTGAAAGTTGCTCGCCAAAAGTTGAAAACTAAACCATTGTAATTATTTGCAAATCATACTGTGTCGCGCAAAAGAGTTGTTGTGGAATTTTTTTTTTTTTTAGTGAAGACGGCCACACAAGGCAAAAAAGCCTACAGCTCACAACGGTCGAAAAAGCAACAGCATTAGGTTCTAATTTTGTGTAGGAGCATGTTAGTATAAGGATAAGTCTCGACAGAAAACAATAAGCCGAAAAAAATGTACTGCTTCTTATTTCGTTTTCCTTTCTTGGAGTGTGTTGCAGTCGATATTTATGTTTTCAACTTAGACACCTTTAATACAATATTTACAAATACAATTAAACAAGGAATATATCACTGAGTGAAAATTGTTTTAGCTTAATTGTTGCAAAACTATTTGCAGGTGTATAATACGCTTTTGGACAGCACAAGATTTCGGGGTGTGCGTGTTGGTGAATTACCTTTAATGAGGCGTTAAAATACCGTTCACCTCCCCCCCCCCCCCCTCCCCCCTCCCCTCCCTCCCCCTCCCCCCTTCCCCCCGGTCAGGATGTCCCGCATGTAGCCGGCAGGAAGGTGGTCACCCTACTCGGTAGTCTGTTGAGCCTGTAAATATAATTTCTGCAAAATGCCAGCGAGATCCAGCATATGCGCTAACACGTACGTCTACCAATAAAAATGCGTCCCGTACGTTTAACGAACCTACCAAACTCAGGACTCTAATAATCATAAACTGCAAAAACCACCACCCCCCAAAAAATTATAAAAGCCTACATTTGTGCTTTAAATGTAGCACTGCTCTTTAGCGGTGCAGGAACCAGAGTTACATCAAAGTTAGCTGCTCTTCCGATCGACAGCTGCACGAGTACTACCGCGACTACCGTATTTATTCAAATATAGACTCGTGTTTTCTTCTCTCTCTCTCTGCCCATTATTTTTTTTTTTTAATTAGAGATCAGCTTACATTTAGGACAAAGGTCAACCTGTAATAATCCTGAGCGTAAACTGCATGCCTATTGCGCTAAGTCAAGCGCTCCCCCAGAACAGTCGCTGCTCCTATCATTCCAGTAAAAAGCGGTGAAGCTCGACACGTGCACGCTGATGAGAGGCGAAGGTTGACGCGAGCCGCGGCAAGAGCGTTACTCTGCAGCCACGGAAAAAAGGCATGATAATCAAGTGATCTTATCAGGAGCACAAGACCCTGGTTCTGTTTTATCACACTAGCCGCAATCGGCAATCCTATTTTTCAGTTTTTTCGGGATGCTTAGCCCTTGACATCGACAACATAGTCTGGAAATTCAGACGATGTCGGAGATCAACAAACCAGCGCGTCAACCGGCCAGAGCGGTTGATGCTCAGCATCAAAGGGAGACATCACGGCATTCGTCATCTCCCTCTATGTGTTCTTTCATCTCCTAAACCAATCAAGCGCAGCGAATGTCCCGTGACTTGCGTTTTAAGTATGTGTGTATGTGGTCGCATGTGTTCGAGCCTTCGACTGTGCTATGACCTAAAACAAAACTAACTCTACGGCGAGTGGAAACGCTGTGAAATTGAAATCACAGCGCAGCTGTATATGACTCGTTGGTCGGATTTGTTCATGTCCGTCGACATAAAACCATCGCGCGCGCCTTATCATATATCATGTAGTTTTGCCACTTGATTCAATAAGAAAACCACAAGTGTCAAAACCAAATCATAGATAAGGCGTGCGCGAACAATGCAAAGCACGTAGCGCTCCCCGCATGCGTTTCTCAGTAAAGATTGCGGTTGCATAAGCTGCCGCGGCAACAGCAGAGTACGAAGGAGTGACGTCACTTGCCCCGGTAACAATGCGTTTTTCGGTAAAAATTACGGTTGCATAAGCTGCTGCGGCAACGGCAGCGTACGAAATCTTTCATATATAAAAAAGTTTTGGTACATTGCATTTTTCTTTTGTCAATCATTTGGTATAAACCCTTTTGCTGTTAACATGAACTGCCGCTTGCGTCCCAGGCGACTTTCGGTTGCACTGTCTTTGCAATGCTTTTGAGCTTTGTTTTTGTCACCAGTACTAGAAAGCATAAATGCTACACGGACAATAAAGTTGGAGATTTAACGAGGGCTTTCGGTTGTACAATATTACATCTTAGAGGAGGCAAGTTGGTTTACGAGAATACTCACAACATTTTAACAGATCTCGCACTCCTTCGTTCTTTTAGCATTCACCTGGCTAATTGGTGGTTAAACGTTTCATCTAAAATTCAAGCAGCGGTGCTAAGGTGGCCTTTGTTCATTCTGTTTTTAAACGGCAAGTTCTCTGGGGTGTCAAAGACTGGAGTACCACCTGGTGGCGTTTGCCATAAAAAGGGCCTATAGAGCAGTGGGCAATCGTTGCAGGCGATACCCCAGCTTCGCTGACAAACCACCTTCACAGCGTGAATTGAAACTCTAACTTTTAGTACAATTTTTCTTTCCTTCTACTTCTCAGAATAATAGGGTCGACCAATACTATTAATTTTTTTTTTTGCTTTAAGCCCATCTTGACCAAGGCATGGCGCAGTTCTTAGCAAAAAGGGCATTCTGGCGCAAGATTTCGCAGACTTTCGTTCATGGCTGAATTTGGCGCAAATGGTGCAGCACTTCCATCACTGTGAAATGCAGAAGGATGTAGCAGGGAAAGTACTTTGGCGCAACATTCATATCGCCTATACTATGCGAAATCGGGACATAAGCTCAGATCATGGCTTGTACTGACTTCTACCGCCACATAACAGACACAAGATGAAAACAATTACTCCTCGAGCAAGGCAAGAGGTAAACATGTAGCCAATGAACAAGCTTTTTTACTTTTCGGTCACATCACCACTTGGAACACCATACAATCGCTTGTCTTGCGCCCTCAGGTCTTGTCAGGCAGTTCCCACGCGTTATAAATAATCTACAAGTTTCAAAGGAGATATTCCATTGTCAAAGTAGCTTCAAAAGTGACTGGGACATCGCACTGGCTTTGCAGTAATGTGAATAACATTATTTAGTAGGATATAAATTACGATTGTTTTAAAGTGGCCTGGAGTTATTAGAAGAGGAATAAACATCTTGATAGATACATTCCTCTACATTACATACTCAAAAAAGAAACCTCCTGGGTAGCCTTTGACTAGCAGCCAACATTTTGTTAAGATACTTGGTTGATTCAGGATTTTTATTTATATCAGATTCGGTTACTTATGTGCTTCATATGAACTCTTACATCATATAGCAAACTGTTTTAAAGATTAAGGGGACAATGTAATGGTTTTAACTTTGATGCATATAAAGTTGTAAAACTATGATGCATAAGCTTCAATACGGCTTTTTAGTTTAAAAAAAAATGGCGTCTTTTTTTATTTTTTTTTGGAAAATATGTTTGTCAAAAATACGTTGAAAACCAACTTACAGGTTGGACCTAAACAGTGTCTGTGCTTGGCGTCGTGTGCAATCAATACATTGGCAGACATTCGGGTGCAAACTTCGGTACAATTATGGCAGTGACAGCTAATACACTCGATTTTATGATTTTATGAAAAAAATCAACAATGCCTGCTTTGAATATTATGATCAAGATTTCAATCTAGAAGGTATTTATCTAAAGTAAAAAAAAAAACGTTTATTGTCCCCCTAGATGCAATAAAGGTCCATTAACACTAATACACACGTAAACAAAACTTACACACCTACTTGGAAAAAAAATTCAAGACCAGCCCCACAAACGCTCATTGATGATTTGTTAACATACTTCTCTCAAAAAGCCCTAAAAAGCAAATATTTTAGCAAGAAAGAAGAGCTACCAATTATTCGGAGACTTGTATGTGAGATTTTTTTAAAGTATTTACCGTCAGCCTCTACCACCTTTTTGCCATGCATATTCAGACTTGCTAGACACTTACTGTTAACCATTCAAAACACCACAAACCAGAATGATCTTACGTTACCTCATACATCTTTGCATAATCACCTTTTTGCATTGTTTTTGTTTAAGGTAACATTGAAAGATTAAGACATTGTGTAAAAGAGCCTTCACACTTCCTGCCCATAGGAGATGGCACCAAATTGCTTGTAAAACACTAGGCTCGGAATGTGTCACAAAAGGTGGCGCTTGAACTCATGTCCAGAAAAGTCCAGAGAGAATGTAGTAAGGAACCAGGCCAGCCCATGGAACACTGCTGTGAAAATGAACATTCCCATGGAGAGCAGATAGTGGCTGATGGACATGCCAATGTCAAGCCAGCTGCCACTGTCCTTTATCAGGAAGAAGAAGTGCTGCACATAAGAAGTGGAATGCCCATCAAGACCCCGAAATATAAGCATGACTGTTGTAATGCGGAGATACGAGTTTCAAATAAGCTTGCTGATAAGCTAGTAAATATGTTAATACTAGGCTACTAGTGCTATTCAACAATACTTTGAAGTGACATAGTTGTTTGGAAAAATACTACTATACTAAGCAGTACAGAGAAATCTAAGTTCTATCAAGAAATTATAAGACACAATTTGTAGAGCACTTTCTGACAGCTCACCAAGATAAAATAAATGTTCAGTATAAAAAAAGTAAATGAAAGAAAGAGTAACTTGTCCAAACCATCTTTCAAAAGTGCACTTATATTACTAAACAATTTTTGAATTTATGCTCCTACAAGTTAAAAATATAAAATAAAACCCATTTGAAAATATCACCTAGTTGCAACAATATGCTATTAATTTTTCGTGCTAATGTAGCAACCTCTTTGGGCGCTGCCTATATAAGGAAAGTTAATAGTGAAGCTGGGAGTGTTACTTGCAAAATGCTGTGATGAGTTGCTTTGGTAAAAACTAACTTTTTGTCCAAACAGTATATAATCTTAAAATTATAGGTTAGGACGATAACCTGCACCATCTAACATACCACCTTTGCGACAAATGATGGTTTACTACACTGCTTTGCTAATCAATACAACACGTTTTGCCATTTAAAAAAAAAAAAAAATGTCAAGAATGTCTGCATACTAATATGTATACTTCTGTTATGTCATTTGATTTTGCATATGAAGCAGGAAGTTTCAGTATAAGAAGTAAGATTTCAATCAATTTCAGCCTACACCTTAAATGTGGTAAATGCAATTATGAATGCTGCAATGAATGAAAACAAGCATACTGAACTAATATGTAAGAAAATAGTCGGAGAAGAAATATCTTCTTACCAAGGCTGTGAAGTCCGACATGATGAAAACTAAGAGGAAGAGTGCAGTGTTTGACACTCGGATAGACTGAAGAAGTGCTCTGAATGCGCAGCTTACAATGAGCAGAGGGATAAGAACCTGTATTACAAGAGAAGAAAAAAAACACTGTCAGTTTCTTGATTCGGTACATGCTTCAAAACATCAGAGACTGCATAAACAATTTCAAAGCACTGTGGCTTTTTATATCAGCTTAAAGCACGATTAAGATTTCTGATTAATGTTAGATTATCGTTCTACTATCCGTCATAAAAAAATGCAAACACACACAAAAATTCGATAGCCTGTCCAAAGCTAATTGGTGGCTCCAAGAAACGTTTATTTGATAATTTCGTAGTAATCAAACCAGTAGTAGTTATAATCAAACAACCAATTTGATCAATGTCAACAACAATAAAAAATAATGAAGTCGCAGAAAAAATCGAGGTGATAGTGAAAAAGAAAAAAGTGAAAGCCGTTTACAACTCCCTGTCACGCCGAATGGGAGCGCAGCTCTTGTGGAGGAGGAGGGAAGGGTACTGAGGGGAGGGTAGACCCCTCCTCCTCCTCCTCCCCTCCTTCTCTCCTCATTCTTTAATATGCTTCAGGGAGGGTCGCGTGACTTCCGAGGGGGGGGGGGGGGTCACGTGACCTTGAGGAGGGGGGCCACGTGACCTTGAGGGTCACATGGGGTGACCTTGGGGGTCACATGACCTTGGGAGGGGTCATGTGACCTTGAAGTGACCTTGGTTACGCCGACGGCAACGCCGCTCAAGCCAGAAACAGGCGCCTAAGAGCTGCGCTCTAAAACAAGGAGGCCATGCAATAACTGTTTAAGGAAATGGCAACAGTCTGAGGAGGAGCATTAGCAGCTAATTTTCTTTCTGTAGCCTCATCAGTTCCATTGTTAGATGGCTCTGACTTCAGTTTCAAGTTTCAACCACTGCTCATGCATTATATTTAACAGGCTGTGACTTGAGTATCAAGCACTGCTCATGCATTATATTTAACAGTTGAATGCAATATATATGGTGACTCAGAATGAGGCTTCCGGGACAATTTTTTTTATCCCGAGTACAGCTGGCTTACACAATACTAATATGAGTAACATTAATTAGGCAGTAAGCTTCTGGGCTATCAAATAAAAAAGTGTGTACTGAATTGAAAGCAAGAAATCTGAAGAACAGACAAAAAAATAAATAAAAATAAACTCCAGATCAGAGATGGGCATTATTTCAAATACAAGTACATGAAATATATATTTAAGATACTTAATTTTGTACTTCATATTCAATTACACATTGCCTAATGTCTTTGTCGATTGTATTTAAATCAAAAAAGGAGTATTTTAGATACCGTATTTACTCGCACAATGAACGCACTCGCGTAATGAACGCACCCCCCAAGTCGGCTCTCAAAATTTACACTTTTTTTTTCACTCGCGTAATAAACGCACCCCCAACTAGGATGTCAAAATTTTGACCCCCTCCCCCCACGCGCGCGAAATAAACGCACTTTTTTATCCTGGTGCAGCTAGGTCGCGAAAGCATGGGCAGGGTGGGCGAACAAAACGCCCTGCAAAAGACGTTAAAAAAATTCGAAAAGATCCAACGGAAGCAAGAAAAAAAAAAACATGGAGAGGAGCTTTTTTTTTTTTTTTTGCACAGCGCAGTCTGGACTTTCGGTTCGCGCGCCGCCGCGCGCATGAGGCAAGAAAGAGAAGCGGAGAAGCGCTCTAAGCGAACAAAACAGCTTGCGAAAGGCGGCAAAAAGAAAAAAAAAAGCCACCGAACTAAGAGAAAACAAAAACAAAGCTTTTTTTTCTTTTTTTGCACAGCGCAGTTTGGTTATGGGGGGTCGCGCGCCGCGCGCAAGGAGGTAAGAAAGAGGAGCGTAGAAGCCCTTTAAGGAAACGAAACAGCTTGCGAGAGGCGGCAAAAAGAGAAAAAAAAAAAAAGATCACGGAACTAAGAAAAAAATAAAAAAGAGCTTTTTTTTTTTTTTTTTTTTTTTGCACAGCACAGTTTGGTTGTGGGGGTCGTCCTTCGCGCGCCGCGCACAAGGAGATAAGGAAGATAAGCGGAGAGCCCTCGCGTTAAGCAAACAAAACAGCTTGCGAAAGGCGGCAAAAAATAAAAAAATAAAACACCCACGGAACTAAGAGAAAAAGAAAACAGAGGAGTTTTTTTTTTTTTTTTTTGCACAGCTTAGTTTGGTTACGGGGTCGGGCGCCGCGCGCAAAGAGATAAGAAGTTACTTCGATTTTTCAGGATAAAAGGTCCCTTCATTATGCGAGTAAAAACGGACGCAAAAATTTTACTTCGCGTAATGAACGCCCCCCCTAACTTTGCATCGATTTTTCGGAAAAAAAAGTGCGTTCATTCTGCGAGTAAATACGGTACTTGTATTTCAAATAATGCCCAAATACAATATGGGGCACTGTTCTTAGCAATCAAATGCAATATTATGCACTCTTCGCGAAAGGAGTCGTATGCAGAGGATCAAACCTGCTGTGCTTTGCTCATAATAAACATAGAAGAAAAAGGAAGGAAGATTAGAACAAGGAATGAACGGGGTCGGTGCAATTAGTGACTTTTTGGTTGGCCGATCTAATTTTTTAGACGTCGCATTAACAACAACTTGTTTGAAAATGCTTTACTGGTTCGACTGAGCCTTTCAGAAACACATCATACTAAATACATTTGTTTTCTGACACTGTACCCGCCTATTTTATGGCAGCTAAATTTTATTTTTAGAGGTGCAACTTTTTTTAAGCACTTGTTTCTTAATATTTATATATTCCACTCTTTATTTGGGTATGGTCTCTTTTTTTTAACCCGGGGTTAAATTTTTAAGTATAAGATATAAGGCTACAAAAAAAATGTATTTGAAAAAGAATTTTAAGATGATCAAATACTCTCGTTCTCATTGTATTTGTATCATCTCATATTTAAATATTTTTCTAAAAAGTGCAATTGGATTTGTAATTAAATAAATTTTTGTTGAAGTATTTTGTATTCATATTTTCATACATTTTTGGAAGTATTTTACCCGTCCTTGCTCCAGATTATTTCTAACTTGCCACAAGATATTCATCATAGGAATTAAGATAGCTACTTAACTTTCATGTCACGTGAATAAAATGCTAGTTTACAACCAACAAGAGTAAAGGCAAATCTGAACAAACTAAGGATAAAAATAAATTACTGATATATTAGATTATTTTAGGAGATCACAACTGAAATATTGCACAAAATAATAACAGGAATTTTCCTAGACCCAAAGTTAAAAATGACATTCACCAGCTTCTTAGTGGGAACACTGGAACTCCTTTTGCACACATGTAATTGTTCTCTGACACAGCTTACTACGTTGTCTTATCACTGAAAGCAACACCAGACAACCAATACTATACTTGTGCTCCAGTGTGGACTTGCAAGGATTTCTGAGAAAACAACATTAGACAACTAATGATAAATCTAAAAAAGTTAATGACTCCATAAGTCCTGAAATATCGTTATCAGACCTTGAAATTTCAGCTAGGGCATTCAACAAATTTGCCCAGCATGATCACAATAGGGCAGTTGTACTACCTTGATGAGCAAGATGGCAGCCATTGTGAATGGCCTGAAGACTGTCATGAAACAGTAGAAGCTGGATATTGAAAAGCTGAAAAGAAAAATATTGTTGCTGTATTGGTACAGCTAGGAAGGACTGTTCTTTTATATCATATAACCTAGACTTTTTTTATAACAGTGTACTAGCATTCTAGCTAAACCAGACAGAATCGATACCCTGTACATGCACACAAAATGCAGGGGCGTCGAATGGAATAAGGCCTGTACTATGCTCAGTATTGGAACACAATTGTCCGGTCTTCGAATTATAATCATGCATGTCTATTAAAACTAATATTGCAATTTCACAGAAGGCGGGTCACCATAGCAGTACGGCTAGTCACAGCTATAGTAAATTATGGAGCAATGTCTACCTGTTGAGACTCGCAATGTTTCCTGTTCCATAGAATGCAACAAGCATAAAAAACATCTGACCAGTCATTAAGGAAGACATTAAAAATAAGGCCCAGAAATGGGTTTTCCAGCATTTCCAAGCAGCAAAAGGATACAAAGAAGTATGCTTTCCGGACGTCATCAATCTTAATGTGGTAGGTCACATTCTTGGCCTGAGTGGAGCTGCTCTGGTACTCAAAAGTCATGTCTTGAAGCTTTTAAAAGAAAAACAGACAGACAGAAGGAGACTCGTTAGAATTTTAAACTGTATTATTTTACGGGGTTCATTAGGAACCTAATGTTTCATATCAGCTTACCCTCAAGGTTGAGCCTGACAACTGATGCTCGATGCAGATCCAGAGGAACATCACAAGGCATAAAGTCAGAAAGAAGAGGCTTTCGTAGCTGAATTTATATAAAGAAAAATTAAATGGCACACAAAGTAAACAAAGTTAGAAATTATGCCTTTTATATAATATATAACAAAGGATTTACTCATCGTTTATAAGTCAAATAGTTTTCTGCATCATAAAATTGTGTCTCAAACATACGCCGACAGCATGGGCGAAATAGATTAAATGCACTTTAAACTGACCGCATAAATCGGTTTCTTAACTTATCGAGCTGGGATTTACTACGGGGGTGCTCGAAGCTGGTGCATTCATTAATTGAGAGTTTGAATACATGAAACCTCCGGAGTCAAATGAAAGAAAATAAAAACTGGTTTTGTCTATTTAAACATAATCACTAAGCCTTTTACCTCAAAATCATCAGAAAATTGTTGTGAGCAATTCTGGCGTTTACTATGATTAAAAAATTTGTAAAATGAAAATAAATTAGAATTGGCTTACCAATTTTTTACTTCATTTGGCCCAAATATGTGCCACAGTAACACATACTATTTTTTTAGTGTACATGCAAAGTAAAGGGAAAGCATAGTTTTTGATTTTTCTTTGATTTACTCAGGTGAGCCAATCTTTCCACAATTGAAGCAAAAGCTTCCACCAACCTCAGGCACCTCTGTAATAAATCCCAGCGTGATAAGTTAAGAAACCGATTTATGCGGTCAGTTTAAAATGCGTTCAATCTATTTCGCTTCCGCTGTATACAATGAAACTGAAGCCTGCCACAAATGACCACGCCATTAAAGTTGAATTTTTCATTTGATTTAAGATAAAATGCCAAACTTTTTAACTGCAACTTGTTAAATTTTTATGGCAGCTTATTATAGATTAAAAAAAAAAAAGGAAAGTAATGTGTTGAAACAAAAAATAAATAAAAAAAAATTATCCGGAATTTAGGTACATTGTATCATGTCACCCGAAAGTTACTGCTCCAATTCTCTTGCATTGCAGCTGAAATACAGGTCAAATGCAATTAAATATTGTCCCCCTCATGCATACTGCAGACACAGGGGCAGTGGTAATCATGAGATGAGCCTCTGTGACTACTAAATTGACCATGCTGTAAATATGCAAAGACTTTCAAAAGGTGTCCAATGCTTTGTGTGTGCCTTATTCATGGCACGCGGCATTTTTCTCAAATTTGATAAAGTATATGTAATTCCAGCAAAGGGTACCCCAACGATGACACACTGTCTTTACTCCCAACAAAATCCTGTGAAGTTTAAGGATACAATATGCACATGAGGAGAAATGGAACAAGCAATGATAATGTCAAGTTTAGCAGGCGGTTGAATAGACTTGTGGTGGAGAAGAGACACAGCGCTGGTGAAAGAACTGAAAAGAAAAAGACAAAACACTTGTATTCAATATATCGCCCATTCTTTGACCATAACAGAGGAATGAGATTTCCTTTGCAATACCACACTACTAAGCAGCTACAACTGGCTTAATCAGGATAAAGAGCACTATTCTTACTGAAGAATCCCAAACAAAAAGGGAAAATAAAATATTGGAGTTTTACGCTGCAAAGCAACGGAGGCTATGAGTGACATTCCAAAGACTTTTTGAGTAAGGGGCCACAGAGGCTTTGAACCCTACATCTTGCGCTCTGAATGTAAGAACGGAACCTCTATGCCACGGAAGCGGTCAAAAATATCCCAAACAAGTTCTCACCCAATGTCGGGAGATAACTGTAACGAAATATGAGGCGATTGCACGCTCAAGCCAAATTTATGCCAACTTTAAGCACTTTAATCAGATCGGAAGCTCACAATAAACTGAGGGTGGGTGCTCATACTGACATAGTTCTATGTTTGGTATTTTGTGCTATACATTACAAGGCTGAGAAACTAACTTTTTTGTAAAACAAATTTCTGAATGATTTGTTACCAACTTCCAGCACATATTCAGTTTGCTAACAAAAAAAACTACAGACAATAAAATAGCTTTTCTCAACAATACCCAAATTATGACTTTGTGCTTGCACAAAGGGCACGAGCCAGAGCCTTAGGCACAAAAACGTGGCAAGGGATAGTGTCATTGTGAAACTGTACAGAAGCTATACTCCAAGCATGTTTCCCATTAGGCACCCAACTAATGAAAAAAAATAAAAATAAAGATGTTGCTGAAGCTGTGATGGGACTCTATACATAGCATGCACAGTGATGGTAGAACTTTGAAAGTCCACCTACCTAGAAGTAGCCAAGATAAAATCTGGTTAAATAGAGGAAGGCCCTCTTTATGCTCAATGCTGTCAGCAGTACTTTTCACAATTGTTATTGCCACCCAGACCAGGATGATCTAAAAGAACAACACAGAGTATACAAAACCCCTATTTTTTATTGTATTTTGGCTCTTGGTAAATGCAATAATTAGCAATGTGCAAAGCAAGTTGGGTTTGAGTCATACACAAATTAGATGGCCATGCCATTTCAATAATTACAAATCAGTAGTGTAGTGTAAATATTCCAAATTTCGAATAGTAGTTTCGAAAAATAGACTATTTGACATTCGCTTAGAGATGAAGTGCGATATTCATATTTTTTTAACAGTTTATCGCGGAGGGTCAGCCTTGTTGAGTGTGCTTCTTAACGTGCACAGATGCACTGCTGAGAAGCAACACCTAGGGAAGCAAACTCCGCGCGTGTTGCTTCTCCGCAGTGCACCAGATATCGGTAAGAAGCATACTCAACGGGGTAACCAGCCACGATCAACACTTGGAAAAGTATGAATATTGCAATTGCATGCTTGGGAGAAAAGCACACTTTCAAGTGGGGTAGTGCACGTGCATGCCTGGTGTACTTAAAGGTCCCCTGAAAAAGAAAAAAAAAACTTTTTTTTAAACAGTCTGTTGGGACAGATGTGTAAAAAATTATTATGTAAAAAAAAAAAAAAAGAATTTTGAGCAATATTGACATTGCGAGACGCGATTTAGTCGGTAGTCACCTCCTTTCCCCTTGTTTTCTCTCTCGGAATTTCAGGCACGTGGAGGAGAGGTAGATAGGCTTCACCTTCACATTGAGGTGGAAAGAGGGAATTTACCATCTCATTGAGAGAATGACCATTCCGTAATGTCTTGGACTTTGCACACAGAATTTCAAATAAATCTCTCGCTGTCCATATGCTCTAAAAAGTTTCTTTTTTTTTTTTTGCCCAAAATTTATTTTTTGACAAGAGTGTCCAAACCAGACTGTTAAAAAAAACAGCTTCTTTTCTTTTCAAGGGCCCTTTAAAAAAAAAAAAATTGTGAATGTTGATATCTACATTGCAGTAAAATTTTCAAAATTAAACTATGGCTGTTATGCAAGAGTAAAATTAAGCAGAGATGCCCTGACAACCTGCATACATCATTAGTTTTTGTTTCTTTAACACGATAGCATTAAGGAGCTTATGTCGCAGAAAAGCCGGCGCAGGTGGTGTGACGGGAAAATTCTGATTGGTCAATAGGGTCATGATGTCACAGGCACATGACCTAGTGCGGGAACTTCAAACAACCTACAACGCTCACGCTCATGTGACGTCATGCATAGAATGAAAGTGATTAAAAAAACGTTCAGCCTTTCCACTCTCGTGAAGAAGGAAGACTAGAGGAGCTGTACTCTATACACTATGTGCTTCTTCTTTGTCGTCGTCTGTTTTTCGCGCTGTTTCCTACGATGAATTCCCGCCAACGTGCCCACTATCCACTCTTCTACTATAGCTGGATAGGTTGCCACCATCTACGAGCGACGGTGGAAACCCTACTGGTTGTGTGCTTGCCGCCGTCGCTTATAGATGGCGGTAGCTGTCCAGGTAGGTTTGTGTCGACATACACGGACACGATCCTGGGGAACCTAGCCCTTAACAGCTCCGCTGTAATAATCACGGTTAAAGTATTGATGGATAAATCGGAAGGTTAATCTATCAATTGCCCAGCCCTAATAAAGATGCTTATCAACGTGATTATTATCCTCGGTCTTACACTGTCATATCTTTTTTAAAAATGATTTTAAGGAATTCATTTCCGGGGACTAATTGGATTCCCCCAAGTAGGATGAGCTTTATCCTATATTGCACAAGTATCGTTTCGCGTTCATGTTTGTGTGCATTTTTGTTGTTAATTATTAATAATAATAATAATAATAATAATAATAATAATAATAATAATAATAATAATAACATATATATGTGTGTGTGAGGGTGTGCAAATAAAGGGCCGCATGTCTCAAATGATTTCACTATACAGTCGAATCTCGTTAATTCAAACTCTCTTAATTCAAACTTGTGGTTAATTCAAACTAACATGCAGGTCCCATCCTATGTGTCTCGAGGGGAGGAAATGCCCGGTAATTCAAACTTTGCTGTATTCAAATTTCCGGTCTCCCTCGAATATGAATTAACGAGATTCGACTGTATAAAGTAATTTATTTTCCTTAAAGAAAAATTTGAAGAATTTTAGACGAGATTCGAACCCACGACCCTTCAGTTGTGAGCCAGACATGCTACTGACTAGGCCACGCAGACACAGCTTGGGAATCAGCGGGTTTATATGTTTAGCTATTATCGCGTTTCACTCTTAAAGGCGAAACTTAAGCGTCCTCCTGTAATTTTTTTTTGTTGTAAATTTGAGTTTGAAGAAAGCATATTTGCATATAGCAAGGTTTGTAAATCTGCTCAATTAAGTATAGCTGGGCATCTCTATAAGTTTAATTTTATCTAAAATCCACAGTTTACTTGCCATCCCAAAGCATCAAGCTTTCTGCGGTCACAATCCATAAATACAGTTAGGTAGATTAAAATTAGCTTATAAATGAACAAGTGGAAGCTTGGGGACAACATTCACGAGTTTAGCTGGGTTTTTGTTTAAGCTTGGTGCAACAAAAGTTAAAGGCTTGGAGAAACTACCTATTCAATATTAGATCGAAAACATTCGGCCAAAACCACTATTCGCTTCAAATTCAAAATCCCCTATTCGCTTCAAATTCAAAATCCCCTATTCGCACATGACCACGAACCACATTAAATAATTTCAAATACCAAAGCAACAATTTCTACTAAATGTAAAAACTGTATGTGAAAAATATGCCATTTCTAACATGGCTCAAAAACAAATCTATGCTCTAAAACGGTAGTCTGCACATAGATTGCAACAATCCAAAACCAACAGTTGGTTTCTAAATATTTCCCAAATGAATACTCCATTACACTAATTTTTTTTTAGCATGCTGGAAGCAGTTAGCTTTTCTAAAATGTGCAGACATGCAACCACCTGAAAACATGCTTCTTCCTACATGTGCTGCCATACCATAGGAAACTGACCACTGTATCTCTGCCAGAGTGCACTTGTGCGATGGGACAAGCACTCAACGACACTAATGTCACAACAAAAGGAAATATTTAATGAATATAACTAAAATTGTTTGTTCCCATTTAATTTGGATGTCAAATTGAGTGTACTAGCATCTGAATCACTGTTTAAAAGTTCCAAATATTTACACGGGCATAGTAACATTCCATAGGTCGTCCATGTATTTGCAGTCTGCCCATACAGAAATAACTAGCCAAAAAAGTATCTCCAAATTAAATTCCCTATGTTTTATGCATGTGCACATATGTTCAATACTAACAGTATTATTGTAAGCAATATGAGTGTCAACAGCCCATCAGGCTTTTGTGGTGAACCTGCCAGCCTCTGAAATTTTTGCCCAGACTACAGCTGGATAGCAAGTTTAGGTTCCAGCCACTGAACTCTGATAAACTGAAACATAGGGAGCTTCTGGGTGTTGCATGGTTAGCAAACGGCTAGACTGATTGCTCTTCGTCATATCAGGCACAAAAGTCATGCTACAGACAAAGGATTTGAGTACTAACCTGCAGCACTGTAATGACGATAGCCCTTTGTGGCTCTTTAGAGATCTGCCTGCTATTTCTTACCAAGCCTAGTTCAGACCTGAAGTCAAAACAGAAGTAGATCCAACAAAAACACATCAGATTGACAGCAACCTTCGGCATTTCACTTTATTCCAGCTCTACATGATACCACATTCTGACAAGTGCAGTATAGGCTGTAATTCCACAGAAAGGTGTGCTTACTGGTCCTATTAATATTAGTATCATTCCTAAATATTAAAATTCTGTTTTTAGTTTGAAAACGAGAACATCTGTGCTCTCCTATGGAATATAGACAGCTAGCCTTTCCCATGCACTAGTTAGAGTTGCTACTTATGGGTGGCCCCACTTTCGTCAGTATAACATATTAGGTTAGTAAACAACATAAAACTCAAAACAATGCTCTCTTGAGCATGCTCCTGGTGCCATCTGTCACTAGTAAAGAGAGCGGCAGCCATACTGAGTCAGATATTTTTCATTCCAAAGTTCCCCAGAATTCAGATTTTGTTTCCTAATTGTATTTTCATGAATATAATGCGACCAAGCATAGTATAAAGTGAGGGTAGGTTTTTATGCCCTTAAAAAGAACAAGATATACCGTATTTGCACAAATATAACCCAAGTTTTTTTTTTCCCCGCAAATGTATGCTCCAAAACACACCTCGCATTATATTTGGAATCGAGCTTGGCCATGAGGCATGTGGGAGAAAGTCACCCCTTCGAATGAATGCAGAGGTACAAAAAGAAACAAAGAAACGGGGGTGTAGGGAGGAAAATTATTATAGTCCGTTGCAACTCAAGAACGAAGGGCGAGGGTAAGATGGGCCGGGGAGGGGGAAGCAGACAAAACGCTAAAGAGAGAAGGAGGTTCCCCCTCTCTTCTCCAGCGTTCCGTCTGCTTCCTCCTCCCCAGCCCGTCTTACCCTCGCCCTTCGTTCTTGAGTTGCAACGCACTGTAGTTCTTGCACCAAGGGAGGAATAGAGAACTTGAAAGCATTCTCTGTCGTTTTCATGTTTGTACAAGGCACTTACTTGACCGCAAAAACGGTGAAAACACTAAGCACCCACACCATGGGAGTGCGGGACATCGGCCAATCCAAGCCAAGCCAGGCCAAGTCAAGATACAAGCCAAGCCAAGACCGCTGGCTGTGTTTATGCAATCATGAAACACGAGGTGTGTGTTTATGTAGAGGGAGGGTAGCTAGCAAGGACAGTAACAATCTTGGATTGCTTCCAAGACTCTTTGTTCTGCCTGTGCATTTTTTAGTTTCTGCTCAAGAGTGTTCTAGCACTAGTGCGTTGGTGCTTCTGCTTCACGCTTTGCTTGGTAAACCAACTGACTTGACACGCAGTGCACCATAGTTCAAGATCTTGCAGACAAAGAGCTCACCCTGAAGAAAAAGAAACTATGAGACAAGTGTTACTTCGAAGTCGCAAAAATGAGGAGCTGAGCAGGGACGATGAGTGCAGTAAAACAATATTTGCCCAATTCTCGTCCCCTTTTAACTTCTGCTGTGCCTTCGAGTGTGGTAACTTTATGCTCGTGTTACAATAGTAATTTATTTTTATTTCTAGGAGCTTTAAAACCTGCCCTCATGTTACATTTGTGGTTGCATTATATTCATGCAAATATGGTATGTATTATTACTGTTATAATGTGAACTGAGGTCGCTTAAAGTTACTACACCTGAGGGCATGGCAAAAATGAAAAAGAGACGAAAATCAGAAAAATATAGGCGCATGTTTCGACTGCACTCATCGTCAATGCTCAGCTCCTCACTTTCGTGGTTGCAATCCACTTGGCGACTTCGGAGCGGAGTCATGCGGTTTAGAGAAGCTCGTTTTAGCGAACGTCGTTTTACCGACCCCAGTTCATCGAATGCCTTTATAGAGAAACCAAGTTTAGAGAAAATGGCGATGAGCCTCCTTTTAGCGAATTCGGTCGCCGCGAAGCGGCGTGTGCGGATAAGTCTGGTGAGTTAACATTTTTGTAATGAGCCGCCGCAGACTGCCGCCGCGAAGCGGCGGGAGCGCAGCGGGGGGCTTGGGTTAACACGCGCACCAGTGATACACGCGCGAAGTAGAAAACCAAGCTTTTTTCAATAGCGTCCCCTTTTCGATAAACGGCATTTCTCTAAACTGAGGCTCTGCTTTCTCTAAACTGTGCTTCGATAAAACGTGCCCGTTCTCTAAAACGTGCTTCGACGAAATGGCATTCTATCAACCGTAGTAAACCCCTTTGGAGACGTGTGCCTGCTTGTCTCATAGTTTCCTTTTATTCTGCTGAGCTTCTTGTTGTTGCAAGCCATTACTGTTCAACCACAGCATACTGTGTCAAGCCGGTTGGCATACAAAGCACGCCAAGCAGAAGCGCCAACGCACAAGTACCAGAACACTCTTGAGCAAAAACTAAAAATGCACGAACAGAACTAAGAGAAAGAAGAGAATGTTTGGAAAGGAAGATATAGTCCTGTAGACTCACTCAAATGGGAATTGTGCTAACTACCCTTTGGAGAAAGAGGATGGGAGCGAAAGATCAGTAGAAAGATGCAAGATTACACACAGACAGAACAAAGACTGCTGGATGCGATACATCACCGTTCTCGCCATTGTTCTGGTTCCTCTGCATAAACAAACACCTCATGTTGCATGATTGTGTAAACCCGGCCTGAGGTCTTGGCCTGGCTTCTGTGTCTTAACATGGCTTGAATTAACCAGCGTCTTCCACCCCCGTGTGACATGCCATGTTTTTGCGGTGTGCTTTTTGGCATCCATTGTACAAACACTAAAGCGACAGAGAATGCTTTCCACATTCTTTATTCTTCCCTTCACGTGGCACGATAACTAACAACTTTCCTCCCCACCCTCGTTTCCTTTTGCGCCCGATCCCCTGCATACAGTTGGAGGGATGGCTTTCTCCCGACTCACGTGCCTTGTGGCAGAGCTCCATTCCAAATATAATGCAAGGCGTGTTTTAAAACACAAAAAAAAGCTTGTGTTATATCTGTGCAAATACATACCATATACAATAGAATTAAAATACACTTTTTAGTCAGATATGCCAGTGGCATCCAAACATCCAGTTGAGGACAAAAGGAAGTCTATACCGTATTTACTCGAGTAATAGCTGTTATGTACCGTCTGACAGACTGGCGCCTATCAGCTTGAGGACACTCGAGGAGCGTGGGCACTGAGCGCTCGAGGCTCGGGGTGCGCGGGCAGACGAACGCCGGGCTCCGAAGTGATTAAACCGATTTGATCAGTAGTCTCCTGTGAACCGACTCGATGTAACAATAGCCACACTGTTTATGAAGAAAACCTGAGGGTTTGCTTCTCTGCGGGGCACGCGAATCGCCAATCACCGCAATCGACAGCATGATTCCAGCGGTTTACAGGACAGAGATAACGTCTTCGCGCAAAGATACCATCTGTGAAGGTTGCATTTGTATGGGGAATTGTGTTCTCAATCTAGTTATTCGCTATGTAATTTATGCGCAGCGCGATGATTGGGTGTATATGTGTTTTGCGGGAAAGCAGATGCAAGGGCCTTGTTCATAAATAAGTGCGGCTACTACTCAAGTAAATACGGTAGGTAGTCTTGAAGTACATGTTTTTAAATAAATTCTGAAAACAATTTTAACCTCTGTGTTAACATATTTTAGAGTAATAATAACAAGCAACAATTATATATTAGGGAGCTTGCTTGAATAAAATAGCATATTTGTATTTTACTTTGCATTTGAGGTTTTTGAATAATAGAAGAATAAGTGGAAAGATTCTTAAACTCAATAAAACATGAAAAAAGTTAGCTTTACTAAAGCTTCCCCTTTGGCATAATGACAGTGCCAATGTCAGAGTATGGTACAGAACGACAGATTCTGCCTGTGCTACACACTTGATAGCACAGGCAGAATCTGAATATATAGAGATTTTAGGCTCGGCTTAGATACAGGGTGCGATTGACTTGTGATGCACCAAAGAGAACCAACCTCATCCTTCATTTCACATCTTGCCACTTTGTGGTATTGACCACAAGTGGAACATTGGACTATGCCAGATTGCCATGACCGCTGAGTGGTGTGGGCCAATCATTTTCAACTTAATGTGAATGTCAAAATTTGGATTTCACAAATTCTAAGCCAAGAACAGAAAATTGCCCGAGTTTTCAAGTTGTAAGAAAAACACCTTTCAGATAAGCAAACTTTCAACAGACATTCCAAAGAGAGTCTTAATTATTGTTTCTCTTCAAATTGCAATCAGAACTTTGACTAGAATGGCGGGACCAGTAAAAGGCACCTTCACATGAGGTTATGATTCAGTGTGGGTCATTCCATGTGAAACGTCCCGGACGATGCGCTCGACCACCTCCGATTTCTAAAAAAAAATCATGGGCTTCGGCCACAATGTCCGTAGCCATACCCTAAAATAGTTTTGCCGAAAAAAAATTTGTGATGACGTGAGCGCGATTTTAGTTTTTGAAAACAGCGTGAAACTAGGCATCACTCAATAATTTACGAAAAATCAGCTTTTTTATGAAACACCCAACAATATCTTTTTCTTAAATTTTCACGGTTGTCGGCTTACAATGTGGTTGATGATAATGTAGTGATTGCGCAGGCGAGCTGGTGGATGTTAACCATTTTGTTCTTAGCCCGAGACTGAGGCAGGAAAAGGGGAAAGTTTCAAAGTAGAAGAAAAATGAACAGTCGAGGACACGTCCCTAACACAGCTAAAGACAAGTTTATTTGGTCACCTTCTTATATACACTCCACGAACTTCACCACAGAACCTTCTCGATCTCGAAAGCCAAAAGATAACAAAGGTATCACATCTTTCCACCACAATTGTCAAACGACCTTGATGTTTTCCACAAAGCAACAAACAATAGCTCCCCTCACCCGGAAGACACTTGACTGAATCCTTCGCGTACACAGTACACTCTCCCCCTCTACTCTCCGACCCACAATCACAAAGCATCCCGGTAACAGAAGATATCAATCCACGTGATACACAAAGGAGGAAACCACTTACACCTTCACATTCAACAAGCACTTTACAAAA